ATAGCGTAGCTTTGTATTCAAGAATTTCAAGCCAATGTTGTGTTTGCTAACATTGATTACTCTCTTAAAGAAAAGTCAGTAAAATAACCCAACACTTATCCTGGACACTGATCCAGTCAGTGAAATGGAAATAGTAAATCCATTGTGAACCCACTGAAGCCACTGAACGGGGCACACACTTGCTCCTTTGGAGGAGAGGAGCTCCCCAGCCACCCCAGCCATGCATTCCCTGGATGCTGGTGCAGGCATTTGTGTTCCTCTTCATCTCAGGGTTTTTTTCAAAATTCATGTCAAATTAAAGTGACTGTGTAACCATGCTCTTACCCTACTGTTTTGAGATACATTATCTGTTGACTCTGTGTGGCTGTTACTCACTTCATGATCAGTGATGAACTGTTGTGCTCACTGCATCTGTAAAATTAATTGGTTTTTAGGGCTGTCCTGAAGAACTGTTCAGTCGTCACTTAAACCAAATTCTATGGTGGGAATTTCCAGCTCTTCATGATTTTTCACAGCACCCTGCTAAAAAGTATGCCTAGAAAAAGAAAGGAATTATTTTCAGGTTTTTTTTGTGACTTAAAAAAAACAAACTACATTGAGAGAAGCTCAGCTATCAAAGCCTGGCTCCACAAGGGTGAGTGACTAAAGCCTAGAGTGCAAACAGCATCTGAATATCGAAGGATCTAGGCTAACTGCCTCTTCTACATAATATTCCTGCAACATTCAGAAATATTGTCATCCAGAGACAGAACACTAAATAAGAATTAGTGACAGGTGGGAAATGTTTTTATTCAATAACTGGCTTTAAGGTAGCTGTGCAACTCTGCCCCAACGTGTGCAGCCGGGCTCTGACATCCCTGGGGGAGCACCATGCAGTCATCTTCACTGCAGCTCCCATCCCTGGGGAGCACCCTGCAGTCATCCTCACTGCATCTCCCATCCCTGGGGAGCACCCTGCAGTCATCCTCACTGCAGCTCCCATCCCTGGGGAGCACCCCGCAGTCATCCTCACTGCAGCTCCCGATCAGTGCTGGCTCAGCTGCCCGGCCCCAGGGCAGGCAGCCCCTCCAGGGAGCTTTGCTTTGGCCAGCAGGAAATTCTCCTAGCAGGAAAATGAGGGGGTGTGGATGTACATCTCCAGGGCAGCTTGGCAAGACCAAGGAAGGGCGGGCAGCCAAAGCTTGCTGTGAGGAGCGGTAACTAGTGAGGGGGAGGAAGGGCTGTACAGCTCCAAGTACAGCACAGTGCAGATTTGGGCCATTAAACGTTACGGTAACAAATTATAAATCCTCGCCATTTTCATTTTAATGATAGAATCATAGAATCATTTTGGTTGGAAAAGACCTTTAGTATCACCAAATCAAACTGTTTCATCAACTCCAGCCATGATAAATGGCACAACAAATCTTTGCAAACTTCTTTAAGTGATAAGTTCCCAGATCCTTTCTGTTCAAATGTACAACTGAAGTTGAATTTTTCTTTTCCTTCAAACACCTGGATTTACTTAATCCTTCTGTACGTGTCAGTGAAAACCCAGAGAAGGACAGAGATGCCTTTTCTGCTGTCCCTACTTCAGTGGGCTGCTGTATGTAAGAGTGAGAAATCGAAATACATAACAATAAATGTTTATTACTGTAGCATTAAAACAATTTAATTAACAGAGTCTTTTCACTTTGGTGCTCCTTTATTTTACTGTTATTGTTTCTGTGGTTTTTAGATCACCACATACTGACCAACAAAATGGTTGGAATTTTTTCTGGGCTTTGTCATTTCTTGAAGTCTAAGCGATAAAAATGGATGCTTATCTCCTGTCAGGCTCCTTGGAGAGCTATGAGGAAATGAGCAATAAAAGGCTCTTTGAGGCTCTTTTAACTTTAGTTTATTATCTATTATAGTTACTGATGTGTGGAAACCAGCAGAGAAATTTTACATGTTTATAGTTACAAAGCCCTTAACAGCTGTAGCTATGAGCTGAGCACTTACAGCTTTTTGAAACGTGTTTTTATAAATGTAACATTAAATCATCATGATTTTGTAAACCAATCTCCTTAAGAAAATTCCTGAGATAATAATATATGGGTTGATATTTTCAGTCAGGGCTGATTTGTGGGTATTCACTTGCTTTTGTAACTCCACCAAGGGAGCAAGTCAGAATGTGGGGTTTTTGGGGGCAGGGTTGATGATGGCCAAAATGCACCAAGCAGTGCTGCTTTTCCTTTCCCCTTGCTGCATGGAAAAACGTGAGGAGAAGGAAACTGGATGAGTTGAGGGCACTCAGCATACCAGAGTGCTCAGCACTGTGCAAACCTCTCTCCCCTCTTTGGGACTGAAGGACACAGCAAATGGCTCCACATTTCTTTATACCTGAGGGAGCTGAATCTGGAATCTGCAGGGGATCAACCCTTGGGATTCTGCCATGGACAGAGCTCTCTTCCTCCAGCGACACTGACATTTTATTATCATCTCCTGTTCCTCACAGGTCTTTTAATGCAATTTTAGGACAGCAGTACTCTCTTCTGTGCCTCGTATTCTCCTCTACATTTCTCCTTTCTTCTGGCTTGGGTGGACTTCTTGCATCTAATCCTACCAAGTGGAAGTAGTGAAATTAATAAGCAGTTTGGATCCAGTGCAAAGAATGGCATGAAGGGGACTGTTCTTAGCCCATATGCATTGCTGATTAATAACACTGCCAAGAGCACACATTAAAACAAATACATTGAGAACACAGACGTGTCAACTCTTGTCTTTTGCCTAAGAAATTAACTTTTTGGCACCAAGGTTGTTGTTCACTACTGCAGTACTTGTACAGTCCACATTTACATAGTTGCAGCTCTGGCACTGGTGGATGGTTGGTCTGAAAAGTCTGTTCCTCTGCCAGGGATGTTCCTAAGGAGGCCCCCAAGTACCCCCGACATGATTGAGCCTGCAGATTTAACCATCACACGTTTGCATGCCTGTCCCTGGCCAAACACAAATCCCATGCATTGGGATTTCAGTAATTTGAGAAGTCTGAGACCAGCAGTAAAAGAAACATCAGCCATTCAACTTCCAAAAATTGCATTAAGCCAGAAGACACAATGTTATTTGTGCAGGTCTGTTTTAAATCAACCCAAATATTATTCTGGAGCCAGAGTTGTAACTAGAACTTGATACAATCTTGGAAAGCCATAGAAAGTGTTAGGAAATACTGCTGGGAATTGAGAGACCTGCTAAAATCTGCGTTCTATACCAAACAGACATGCCTCTTAAATACTAATTGAGAGTGATGAGTTACCTTTCCAACCAAAATCCTTTCAATTCAGGAGACTTTGTTTGCATGAAAAGACTGAACTGTTTCCTGATGCTACTTGCAGCTAAAATACAGCTAAAATGAACATATAGGAAAGATCCATCCATACCACCACAGAAGTTGACTACGTGGTGGTACTGATGCCATTCTTTGATGACTTTTTAGGCTACCAGTAAGTCTGACTTCCAGGATCTTCAGCTGTGTAGAGGAGTTCTGAGTTTGAAGGTGCAAGAGAGAGGCCTGCCCTCCCTTCAGAGGGTGCTGGTGCCGCTCCTCTTGTGCAGAGGCTCTGAGGAGCAGAGATTAAAATGATCGGTGGCATTTTTGATGAAATGCTACGTTTTTATATTGGCTTTTCTTCCTCTGTAATTTTCCTTAAATGGACCATGCTTCACAAATACAAATTGGGTCTCATTGCATGTTTTACTCCAGAGGGAAAGTAGCTGATGTACGAAAGTTAAATGACTTGGTTTGTAAGAAAATCTGGTTTAGAGCTAGCCATGGAAGACACCAGAGCTGTTTCCCACCTCTCCTACATACATTGCTGTGCTGTGTTTCTGCCTAAATAGGAAAAGTAAAAAAAAATAAAATAAGGAATGTACATTTCTAGTGATACTTGCTTCATAGATTACAGGCTCAAGATCACTTTTGAGTAAGATAGACTTCTGGTGAGGGTGTTGTTTTCACTGCAACATCAGGATGATATTATTGTTGCTTTAAGCTCCATATTTTTATCATTAATAACACAGAACTAGTCACTACATGATTTTGGCCTTTTTATCAAATATTGTACTATTCTGATTAGATACAGAGAAGGCATAGTGGTTTGAGGAATCAGTATTGTTATCTTTCTTTTCCTTGTAAGTTCTTCACAATGTTTATGTGGCTTTTTCTCTGATTTTCCCTAATTCTTTTAGATTATGCAGTGAAGTTGGTCAGAATATTTCTATCAAGAATTTTTGGACAGAAAAAGGCCTCTAATGATAGAAGACTTTTGGCATTTGAATTTGTTTTGGCTTAAAAAAAAAAAAAAAAAAAAAAAAAAAAAAAAAAAAAAAGCATGTTTGAAATTTATTAATGAGCCACACTTGCTGGAGAAAAAAAACCTGTTCACATAAAAAATAACTATATCTGTGTTGGAATATCTCTGAAACTGGCATTTTTATCTGCCCTAGTAATGACTTCATCTTCCGTTATATTATTTCCTAGAATTTGGATCCTTGGGGTTCATGTTGTATCGGTGGAGGTTCTGGCACTGAATCTAGTCAAGTCATCATCCCAATCATGCTCTGAGCTGGGGAATATGATGCATATTTTTACTGTGACTACCATGAACTGTCTAAAACATTTTCTATGAAGAAGTTTGAGACAAACTAAGGACTGTCTAGTCCCATATTGTTTGCAAAGCACCGTTGATATAAGAAAATATCAGTGTTATGAGAATAATATCATTGTTAAAAGAAAAATGATTAGATGTAGAACTTCAAACTTCCACAGGTTTGAAAGTTGCAGTGGTATTTCAAAAACATTTATATAAAATCAACTTGCTAGATTAATTCTAAGAATTTTGCTTTTCTTAGGAGTGCTGAATGAGATGGAATGAAGAGCTCTGGAATTTTGGCATGCCCAGAAGTTGATAGTACATCTGTGTAAATAACCTCACAAAAAAAACCTAATCCATAACATTTTTTCTGCTCTCCTTTCTCCTCAGGTTTGCCAGTTTGTGGTGTCTGTCAATGGCCTCAATGTTCTCCATGTGGATTACAGGACAGTGAGCAACCTCATTCTGACTGGCCCTCGGACGATTGTGATGGAAGTGATGGAAGAAATAGAGTCCTGAGAAGAAAAAAACAAAACCTCTTAATTGACATTTTTGTAAGAGAAATAGTGATGCCCACGGAGCGGCATGACCCAAGGAGGCAAAATGTTGCTGTGTCTAAATAGATAATTTTTCTTTTTTGGGAAGGGGGGTGTCTTTCAGTTAACAATAATAGCACTGGTGATTATGCTAAGAACAATAGAAACCAGCATGTTTCCACTAAGGACTTTTCTTTGCCCGACAGAGACAAGGTTAAGGCCTTCAGGTTGTCTGTCCAGCCTGCGTGGGTCAGAATGGCTTCCCGCCTTGGAGGCAGTGCAGACTTCCTCACAGTCCAGCACTGGATCAAAGCTCTTCAGGAGATGAAAGAACCAAACACTGTGGGGTCAGGATGTCACAGACAATTTGCATGACATATTTACATTGTTAAACATCCTTCTGGTGTCCAGTGTTGTCCCAGGAGCATGTGCTGCTGCAGTTGTTCCCTCCTTGGGCTGAGGGACAGCTGGCTTGATTGCAATCAATACAAATAAACTACAAATGCATGAAAAAAGGTGTTTATTCTCCATAGGGAATACTCTGCTATGAATGTTTGGGTCTGGCAGAATACATGGATTAGTGCAGAAAGAAAAACACAAGACCATGCAAAATGGAAAAGCATGTGGTACTTTTGCTAAACTTGGCCTTGGAAAATCAGGCCCTTTGTTGCACTGGTTTAGGTGCTCAAGCATAAGATGGTGATTTGAATATTTTTTTCCTTATCTGTAATGAAAAGGTGTCTCAGTCTGGTTGTTTGTCACTTTGGAGAAATTTTGGACACCTCTATACCTAGAAGAAGAAGACAATTTGGTGGGTTGAAATGGGAAATTCACAGTGTTAGCATTAGCAGTGATACATCCAGGTGCTCCAGTAGAGCACTTCAAATCTAAGTGATGATGTACTTGAATGTACATTAAACTTGTTAGCACTTTCCAATCATCAAATGTTTTGCAAACTACAGACTTGCCACGTGAATTGCATTTGACACTGTTACTAATAAAAAAATGTATTTAACCAATGCTTACTCTTTTTCAAATGGTAGGATTCCTTCATTGACAAATTCATGAAGCAAATATTTTTTAAAAATGCATATACAAATTCCATATTATGCTGAGTTAAGTAATTCTTTAACTCGATGGTAATTGAACTGCATCTGTTTTCTTTGATCTTTCAACTGAATAAATACATCCTTGTCCACAAAATTATAAATATGTATTGCAGACTTTCTCTACTGTCTAAATTATACAATTAAAGCTTGCCTTTGTATATGAGCATACCGTGAATCCTTCAGTTATGGGATGGGGAAAGTATTTTTTTCCTCAAATAATTTTGAAATCTGTTTTATATTAAAAATTATTCTCACTAAATGCATTGCTCTTGCAGTATGTTTATCACTCAATCAAACACTTTTTACATCAGAGTGACAGCAAGTCTTCAAAATCATACATGCCTGCAGCTTAGTAGGTAGATGTTCATGTGTTCCTTGTTTCTGGTACAGTTTTCACCAAGAAAATGTCTGGTATTCCACTAATATGTAGCAATGAAGAGAGTTAGAAAACGGCAAATGCTAACTTGATAATGACCAACCATAAAAGTGTTGGGAGAATTCTTTCAAACTGTCATTTAGTATGATAGCTGTTTATCCTTACTGCACCCCAAAAAAGTTTTGGTGCATGTATATAACCCATAGCAGATTATATTCTAACAGTTCATCTAAAATGTATAGTTCAGCACATAAAGTAATATGAGTTTGTAGTAAGTGCCAACAATACCTTCTAGGAACAGTTGGAAAAAATCATGTTGTCCCAGAAAAGTGTCAATATGCTCAGGCTTTTGATGCTGTGAATCCAGGAATACTTCCCAAATACTTCCATTTTCTTTTCTCTTTTTTAGTGGCTTGGTTGGCATTTATTTCATATCACTTCAAAACATAAATTCTACATGTTCGGCAAGGTTAAATATTAAAATGTGAAGGGTTTTCTTAGCAAAATGCTAATGAGTCTCTCTAATGACATCGTACATTCTTCTGTCTTACATCTCTTGCCTTAGTTAATATTCTGCTACAAGTTTCCTGTAGCTTACAGATAATTAAGAAACTGGGTCAGAATTTAGCTTAATAATGCATTACAGAGTGCACTTTTGACTTGAGCAAAAGCAGTGGGGATGGGGGCAGGGAGAAATCTGTGCATATCATTATGTTACAGATTGAAGATGGCATTTTCATTTGCCAGATACATTAGTCTCTATCACAATTTAAGCACAGTTACTTGCCTGGTGTTTAATGGGGATTTCCATATTGTGTTCTCAACTTGATTGGCAATCTGGAATTTAATGAATCCTTTTCCTGTTCAATGTAACAAAGGGATTCATATTACCTCTGCAGTGAAGTTTTGTATTTTGGAAAAAAAGAATGCAAATCTAACAATTAAGCTATGAAACGTATCATTTCCAATTAAATTGCAGTTTGTCTGCACATAGTGATACCTGCCCTCTGAGACATCCCACGGGAGTCAGTGTCAAACTCTCATGCACTTCAGAGGCACAGAATTTAGAGTATAATAGAGCACCTTGCTGCCTGCAAAGTACCAAGGGAAATGTAAGATCATTCACAAGAAGTGAGGCATTTAAGAGATGCACTAATAACACATTGTGGACTGAAGCAAGAAACCAGAAAGGAAAAAACAAAACAAAACACCACAACAAAACCTAAAAACCCCTTGGCATCAGCAGTAATAACTTCATTAAAAAGTTAGGCCTTTTGTAGGACTTACTCTCTTACGTGATGGCATTTTTGGTTACTATAGATTTTGTGAGATCCTCTAAAAAATCTTCAAGCCTTAGTAACACAGATTAATGCCACTTCTCTGCAAGAAGGACATTTGCAAGTCATTTATGGAAAATCTTCAAGCAATGTAACAGTTAATTCAAGCAGCAGTTAAGATAATTGGAGCATTAATTCAGTAACATATTTCTACTATTTTTCTTCTATCATATTTCCTACAAGATACATAATTTTGATTACCTTTGTCTAGATCCAATGCTTCCACAGCTAGTCCAATGGAAGGTGTTTCACTCATGAAATAATGCAATAAACCACTTCAGGTGTATCAGAGTTTGATTGTCTGCCTTTTAGGTCTCCACAGAAGCTGAAAATCAAATTGTCAGCATTAAAAGGACATAGTGGTGTCACAGCAGCATCTGAAATGCCAGTGGGTCTGTCCTACTACCCTCTTCCATGAAATTACCTTGGGAAAGAGGTTTGGGAGGAAAAAGTGATGCAGGAGGAATTTCTGTGTCAATATTTCCTTCCTTTTCTGGTATATGTCACCACTAATAACTACAGAGTACTAGGGAGGTGTCAAATCACTGGTTTAATGGTCAGCATGTCTGCTTAGCATGGTCTAGACCTCTGAGAAAATTGCCTGAGCATAGTTCAGAGAACATCAAGAGATCAGAATTTGGGCATAAGAGTGCAGGCTGGTTTGTGCCAATTGGCCTTAGGGCCAGAGAATGGTCCCTGCATTGATTCGATGTACTAACATAGACGTAGCCAAGGAGAGTAGTCTGAGGATTAGGAAGCAGAAGAACAAATGACTGACTTCTTTCCTCATCTGCACTGACAGCTGTGACGCACGGAGGTTTCCTTCTCCATGTGGATGGAGACAGAATGATCAGATTAAGGACTAACGCTCTAATAATTTCAGATAACACCAGGAATTAAAGTTTTTCATGTCAATTTGTTAAATAAGAATTATTCTGATTTTACAGGTACAAAAAACAGAGACAATATGGTTAGCAAAAATGTCTGCCCAGTACAAGGCAGACTGAGAAATTGTTGCAATTATGAGTATTTTCTTCCCTGGATATAATTAGAACTAGACCTCCTGTAGAAGTGGAAAAGCATGTGTATGTCACATGTATAACTAAAGCTAGATCACAACACTCTCCAAACATAGTCAGAGAACTTATAACCCTTTAGAATCAAACAGCCATTAAAGGTTGCTGTAAATCACACATTTCAAATTTGTCTTTCTTTATCTGGTGACTGATGTAGCTTATATTTTTCACTAATATATGTTACTTATAAAAAAAATAAATAGTAACCGCCAATGTAATAATTCCTATTGTATACACACAGTGCAGATAAAAACATCATTGATGTTCCAGAGGAGCTGAGTGATTTTAAACCATTTGATTTTTCTACAAATTCATGTATAAATATTTACACATTTGTTTTTAAACTGAGCCATTAATGCAAGACACAAAAATGCCAAAGAATATCACAGGACTCAATGATATAATGAATTCATACTGTAAAGATAGTGTTTCATGTATCAATACTTAGTCTTTATATTTGCAATTTCTCAGTAAAATTAAAAAAATATTCAGAAGGCAATAGCCATAACTGTTAAACCAAATGTCCTCTAGAGAAATGGCTGTTGTTTTGTTGTTAGGCATCCATGCTCAGAGCATTTGCAGGAGCTGTGAATTTCCGGTACAGGTTGCATAAGCACACACATAAAATTAGATACCTTTGAGACTACACATTTGAAGCAGGCACTGCACACCAGGTGGCACAAATGATTGCATTGCCTCATACAAAAATGCTACCATACATGCATAGCTTTACCATCACAAAGATGATCACAGGGCTGGAGAACCTCTCCTCTGAAATTAGGCTGAGAGAGTTGGGGCTGTTTAGCCTGGAGAAAAGGCTCCAGGGAGACCTTAGAGCACCTTCCAGTACTTGAAAGGGGCTACAGGAAAGCTGGGGAGGGACTTTTTGCAAAGGCATAGTGATAGGATGAGGGGAAACAGTTTCAAACTGAAAGAGCGGGAGATTTAGATTAGTTATTAGGAATAAATTCTTTTCTGTGAGGGTGGTGAGACATTGGCACAGGTTGCCCAGAGGAGCTGTGGAAGCCCCATCCATGGAAGTGTTAAAGGCCAGGTTGGATGGGGCTTTGAGCAACCTGGTCTAG